TTATTTTCAAGCTGTTTTAAGATTATCTCAAGGGGACAACACAGAAGTATAAATGGATAAGAGAAATGTGGCATGAAACAATGCAACATGCTCTAAGCACGCTACCAGTCAGTCTAGAATAGGAATATCGTCATCAAGTGGTGCCCCGCTTGATGACAATGCGTTCCAGCAAAATTGCTGTTAAGTGAAATCGTTGTCAAGCAAAACAAACAAACAAACCAATTGGAATGCATTGAAAACCAGTCAATGCGTTCCAATGGGGGAAATACCTCATTGTCCAGCGAAGATTGCCCACAGAGAACCGCTAATCAGCTGTAATGCAAAGCTTCCGTCCGGAAAGCAGCCATTTTGAGAAGGGAGGGAAGCCATTTTGCAGAGGGAAGCCATTTTGCAGAGCCGAAAAAAATACAGTTTTGCAAACAAACGGTTCGTGAAGCAGGCTCCTAATCAATGTAAAGCGGATTTTCCCCATTGGAATCATCGTTTTGCGATCACAAAAATGTCATTGTCAAGCGATTTTGATGTCACGTGGGGTAAGCGTTTAGCAGGGCACCACTGTATTATAAAGATTGTAAAGCTCCCCTCTCCCCCTACTGTACCATCAGGTTTGGACTTGGTTTCCCTGTATTGAATAGGGGTAGAAATATCTGCTGTTTTGCCTTACAATACACAGCTTCAAAAATTGCTCTCCCGCAATACAGAATACAGTGGTGCCTCGCTTAGCGAGTGCACCGTATAGCGTAGCGATCGTATAGCGATCCCTTTTTCGGGATCGCTATATGGAAACATACCCGATCTTCGGAATGGGGAAAACCCGCATTGCGAAGATCGGGTATTGCGGCGGCCATTTTGGAGCCGCCGAACCAAAATGGCCGCCGGCCAAATAGCGATGATAATCCGTTCTGGAAAAATCGTCGCTATACGAAACAAAGAAGCCCATAGCAATGCATTAAAACACGTTTAATGCATTCATATGGGCAAAAAACTCACCGTTCAGTGAAAATCCTCCATACAGCCACCATTTTCGCTGCCCGGTAAGCGAGGAATGGGCGCGAAAATCCAGCGGGCGGTCATTTTTTACCCGGCAGCCATTTTGGAACCTCCGATCAGCTGTTAGAAAAAACATCACTATGCAAAAATCGGTAAGCGAAACAGCTTACCGATCATTGCAAAGCGATTTTTACCCATTCAAAACATTGCAATGCGATCGCAAAAGCAATTGCAAAATCTTAATCGCTACGCAGATTCATCGTTAAACGGAGCACTCGTTATGCGGGGCACCACTGTACCAGGAGTTTAGCGCTCATTATGCGGGGCACCACTGTACCAGGAGTTTCTATCAGTATGCTGATGACACCCAAATGTATCTTTTCTTTTCTACTTCTGCAGTGGATGCTGTCGAGATACTGGAGCAATGCTGGAATGTACCAGTGCCAATGGACTCAAACTGAAACCAAGCAAGATGAAGATTATCCTCCTGAGGTTCCCTCTGACAGGTTAGGGGATATCTTCCCTAGGCTGGATGGTGTAAACCTGCTGCTTATGGATTGAGTTTGGAACCTGGGTGTTCTCCTGGACCTGGCTCTCTCTTGAGATTCTCAGGTTGCAGCTGTGTCGATGTCAGCCTTTAATCAACTGAAGCTCATTGCCCAGCTCCACTCCTAAATAGCTGATGGGGTCCTCAGTAGGTTTGCATGTTGGTGATTTCCAGGACCAACTGTAGTACTACAATGATCTCTTCCCTTGAGGCTGACCTGCATCCTGCAGTGGGTTCAGAATGCAGTGGCAATGCTAGTGGCAGGTGTGGGCAGATTTATTTTATTTATTTATTATTGGATTTTTATCCTGCCCTTCTAGGCAAAAGTCTACTCAGGGCGGCTCACAATATATTAAACACAAAAGTAGTAGAAGGGCATAGCATTAATCAAACTCTATTTTGACAGGTACAACGACCCTGTAAGGCGGGACTTCCGGTCTAGAATCGTACAGGGTTACCACAAAGGGTTATCTACCTGTGCTCCAGAAGAGCTCTTGGTATAAAACGAAACTTCCATATGATGCCCAAAGCTGTCAGGGTATTCAAGACATTGTAATGTTAATGGCTGCATATTCTCACTGTCAGACTCTGTACTCAAGTAGTGCTTTCTGGGGTTGGCAATGGTTATGGAGTCCAGAGCCTCTTCCACCATCTGCTCCTCAGGAATGGCAGCATCCCGCACAAACCCTGGTTTCGCCAGCACACAGCCATCCACGTCCTCTGCCGATTTTGGGACCTCTCCGGCTGGCTTCTGTAAGTCTCTTTTTAACCCCTGGTCACAATCACAATGAAGCACATCGTCATCTTCCTCATCACCCCACATCAGGGTGCAGGCCAGCTTTCTTGTACTTTTCGGCTTCTGCTTTGGCTTTGTGTTAAATACATATAGGTCTTCTGTAGTCTTGCGTTTTCTTCTTAGCCTTTCTGGGTCTTCAGGCAGTTGCCCCCTGAGCCTTGTAGGGGGTCCTAAGGGGTACAGGGGCTGAGAAACACCCACGAGCCCCTGGTAGTAGTCTTGGGGATGCAAATGCCTTTTGGGTCTCCCTGGATCCTTTTGGGTTGTCTCGGGAACTTGATTCTCCTTGTCAGCCATCGTCTCCAAAGCGGCACAGCCTCTGCAAAGAACGGTCAGCGCTCGCAGAACTCTCCAAAAACATTGCTGGGGCCTTTCCGAGACAGGATTTAGGAGTTGTGGAAGACTTGGATAGAGCTAGTCATGTACATTGTGTAGCTTGTTGGCCATTTGTACTGCTTTAGAAACCACCCGCATTTCTTAAAATCTAGTCACAGACTTTTAAAAAATAAATGTGTTTTTGTTGTGCAAGTATGCAGAACATACAACTCGAGATTTCAAATACACAATACAGTGCCTGCCGAGATTAGACTTCCTCAAGTCTAGCAGATTGATTTCATGACCCATACTTTAAAATAGCTATAAAATGAATGTGCTAGCCAACACCTTCCCACAACTATTGTGTACAAATGTAATATGCATATTTTCTTATGCTTCTGTGCGAGTTACTAAAGACAGTGAAATCTCATATACCAGTATGTGAATTTGCTGAGTAGGCAAAACAGCTTCTGAAATTATGCAAAGAATTAAATTCAGCTGTTTTTGTCTATGGCTGATCTTTAAACAGCCAGGAAAATTAAATGTTTTTATATCTGTTTGTGCAGTACATGCCATGAAGTCATAGCTGACGTATGGTGACTTTACTTTCATGGCGGTGTGTGTGATATTTCAAGTGGTTTTACTAGAGCTCCCCTCCCCATGAGTTTCCACAGCCAAGCAGGGATTTGAACCCAGGTCTACAGAGTGCTAATCCATTATTCTGTCTGTAGTCCATACAATTTCAGGACACTAGGAAAAGGAACTACGAAACAAAAGCAGTAAGAAAATCTGAAAGGTAAATCTAGATTTGGGTACCGTTAATTCTAAAATGCAACTGCTTAGCACACAAAGTCTGATATGTATAATACAGTGGTGCCTCACTTAACGAGGATAATCCGTTCCAGCAAAATTGCTGTAGAACGAAATCGTCGTCAAGCGAAAGTAAAAATCCCATTGAAATGCATTGAAAACCAGTTCAATGCGTTCCAATGGGCGAAATACCTCAGCGTCCAGTGAAGATCCTCCATAGGGTGGCCATTTTCTGGTGCCTGTAAAGCGAGGAATCCGTCCTAAAACACAGCGGCTAGCCATTCTGAAAGCCCGACAATCAGCTGTTTTGATCGTCGTTAAGCGAAAAATCTGTTCCCAAAGCAGGGAACTGATCATCGTGAAGCGATTTTTCCCTATTAAAACATTGTTTTGCGATCGCAAAAGCGATTGCAAAAACTTCATCATTAAACGATTCCCCGTCAAGCGGGGCACCACTGCATCTCAATGAAGAACTGTATTCCAAGATATACTTGTTTTTGTATAATTTAATCTGCATCAGAGCCTGGAAATTTAGTATGTTGATGATTCTGTGTAAACAAGCAAAATAACAGCAATTCATCTTACGTCTTCAAAGTAATAGTATAGAATAACATTAATGCAGTTTTCACTTGTTAAAATCATTAACAGCCACAGGGTTAACTCAGCTTAATCCTTCACTCAAGTCAGAGGGTGGTTTTGCCCCAAATGAATTTTTCTAAACTTTTCTCAAACTAAATTATCCACAGGAGACTAGAAGCCAGTAGCCTTCAACTATGAGAATGTACCATGGAGGAGTAAAATGAAACTGCTTGCTGTGACCTGTATAGATATTCAGAAGGTTGGGGTTGTTGGGTTACTCATTCAGTTGCACCTTCTAGAACAACAGTTCTTAACCTTTGTTTTACCATGGACCCGCTTTAAATATCTTTTGTTGCTGTGGCCACCAAGACTTACCGGTAACTCAAGATTTAAAACCCTAAAGTGCAACAAATAAAGTTTCTCATGAAAGGTCTTCCAATTTGGAGAGGAGTAATAAATTAATCGGTTAATGTACAGACTCCATCTGTGCATTTCAACCAATCCATGCCATAAGATGTTATAAACTTATCTAAGCTGTTAAAATACAGCTTCAGCTGTAGTGTACACTAACGAGATGAACAGTATGTCTTTGAAAACATTTATCTTGTGCTCATATCTAACATAGCACAGTAAGGCTTTGTTTGTTATGTCTCCTCTTTCGTCTAATTGCAGTACAAAGTAGGGAGACGTGAATTCTTCTTAATAATTGTGGCAGACAAATCATCAATTTACTGCTTAGCTGTCATTTGGCAAAAGTATTAAAGAATGGTCCTTGGCAGATTTCTCATTGCTCAATGGAGAAACCATGATGTTTGCAGCAGATAATATAAGTTCTTCAGCTGTTGTGTGCGGTTTTCCAGTTTTTGCTATTATTTGAGAAACTTCAAATGAGGCCCTCACTGCATTTTCATTGTTACAACCAGATGCAGTGTGTTTTACCATTTTCTTACTTTCCTGATGTTCATGCTTACTTTTGAAAAAAACAGATGCTGTTTGTGGCATGTTCTTTATCTTTAGTATCAAGATGTCTTTGCAATTTGGACAGTTTCATGGCCTCGTTGGACACTATCTTGTAACACAATACACACTGTGGCTGTTGCTTGTCTTCAGGACCTGTACACATGAAGCCAATCAGATATTTCTTGCTATAGCAGCAACACTTTTTAAGATGACTGGAAGAAGCTTCATTTTGCTTTTAACAGGATGAACCCTCATCAACATCATCCAAATATATTTTTATGACATTCACTGCAATAATACAAGAAGCCACCTTACCTGACAAGTTTTATTAGCAAAAATCGAAGAAGAAACACAATCATGAAGTTGATCTGAACACTCACTCACATTGACACTGATTCAGACTCTCTTCCTGCAGTTTTTGATTGACTACGTAGTAGCAAGAAATGTCACATGCTATCTCTCAGCCACTCAGCGTCATTCACTTGCATGTTCTCACCGTGTGGAGAAATATCAAACTGTTATTTGCTATTAAAGTTATTTTTATAACCAACTTTTATGGGCAGTGGTAGGTTAGAAAAGCCAAATTTTACAAAAACAAGCAAGCAAAATTAAAATTTTGTTCTATGTTTCCTTTTCTTTATTTCTTAGCTGCAAAAGATGATAACTTTTTTCAAGCCTTTGTGGACCCCCTGTGAGGACAATGCAGCCCTGAGGGGTCTGTGGACCACAAGTTAAAAACCTAGGCTCTAAAATATTCTATTAACATGAATTGAAAGTGGTATAAGTAATTAAAAGTTCTGTATAGAGAAATTCTTTTGTTGGAGTTGTATCAGTACCTTCATTTTGGGAGGTGAGATGAGGTATTATATTTTATCCATGAACGCCCCTGTACTGTATGATGATTTTTTTAAGTGATCTATAAAGGTATTGCCTATTTTTGCATTGTATTTTACTTTCTTTTTTTTAACAGATAGCCTTTCTCAACCTGACAGTCTACAACAAGCTGCATCCTACCATTCCAAGCCAGCAGTTGTTATGAGCTTGTAGTGTCTCTGAAAGAAATGCTGGATTGGACTTTCAAAGTCACAAAAATAGAATTTTTGAAACGTTGATAGCAATAAATTAATCTCTCCATTTCTTATGTAACAAATTAATTCTCCATACTAACACTGAAAGCTCTGGGCTCCATCAAGAAGGGATAAGTTACTAGCACACAGGAAATAAAACTCCTTGGAAACTAGTATTACAATACACAACTACTAACTTGCTAACTTCCAAGATCTCACCAGGTATTGTTCATCCTTTTCTAATTGTAGAGAAATAAAAATAAAAAATAAAAAAACTAGAAACAGGTTTAGAAATAGTCATCAAAATTTAATAAGCTGCAGCCCAGTACTGTCTGCTCTAGCAGTGACCCTCTAGGAACTCAGGCCAGTAGCATATTAAGTGCTACCCAAGAGTCTTTTAACTAAAGATCTTGAGAAATGAAACTTGGAATGTTCTCCATGCTAAACACATGCTCTATTGTAGAAAGAACAGTTCCTTCTAATTTTTTGTATAAGTGGTGGTAAACCATTCTAAAATTGTATACACACGTCTAATTTTTGGTTCTCCCATAGCTGAATATCCAAAACACAAAACAATCAGTTTCTTTCAAATGAAGATACATTAATATCTTGAGTCCTCTTAAGAAGGCAGGGTAAGAACATTTTGAATACATAAATAATAAATAAACATTATCTGGACAACCAAGTGGAAGAAATACAAATATTTTAATATCGGTGCCAAAATACCTAAAAGGCTTATCTCTCCAGTTAAAGAAACTAAAAAAATTCATTAACAGTTAAAAGAACACTGATTGATTTAACTATGTAATACACAAACATAAGGCTTAATCTGCTATTGGCTATCACAGAATTTATGTTTTGACACAGACATGTTTTTTTTGACATGTTTTAATAAGGATGCAGAACTAAAGGATTCAACACTACCACATATAGTGACAAGTAAGACTAATAAAAGTATCCATTAAACAGGGAGTCAATGACTCACTATCTAGGCGTTTAGCTGTTGGTTTTTAAAAAACAGAACAGCAGAACAAACCTCTTTAAAGTATTTTACCTCCTTTTAAGTAATGGAAAAGCCAATCTAACCTCATTCTTTTGCAAAAATGGCAAGTCAAAAGCAGAAATATCTTTGCAGCCTTTATTTCTCTAAAGTTCACATGGCACAGATTCAGGGCTAATAATCCTAAAAATATAGGACTTCATATTATTCCTATCAGATGTCACCTTGAAAGTCTGGCCTAAATGGGGAACCTGGGTTCAACAATTTCTTAACGTGAGCATTATTTAAATAGGAATCAGAACATCATAATATTTCAAGTGATAAATTAAAGTACATAAAAGAGAAATGGAACAGTTCAGTAACAGTTCAGGTTTTGAATTATTAGCTTAATGCTTTAGTTCTCAACAGTTTGCAGCAAGGATGTTTGTTTACAAAAATATCTACCAAATTAAGTACACAGTTAAATTACTACTTCACTTTACACTTAAAAACATGATTTTGAGAGCATCCATTCAAGCCAGCATTTTCTACTTCTCTACACCTGAATCAATAATTAATTTACCATCAGTACACATCCTGCTCTCTAAAATGTGAGAAACACAAAGCAGATATACAGTACATATTTATTTAGTAATTTGGTTTCATGAAAACTATTTTTCAGAAGGATAGATATATCTGTCTTTATTCTGATTTAGAGAATTTTACTTGTTGGATACATGAAAAAACAAATTAAAATCTGAATTAAAAAGGAAAAACCATAAATAGTCTGCATGAGATCAGTGTTGAAAGAGGTCTATGAGAAAAAGCCACATTCATTTTTAGAAACAGGATCTTTAACAAAATGTATCTCTGGGGTACAGACAAAATGCTGGCACTGTAGTAAGAAAAGCAACTTCTGACAAAGTATAATTAGGACTGTAAGGCAGCCAGATTAATTTAATGTTTTATTTTAAAGACCTAAAAAGTTAAAATAGTGGCCAGAATCCTACTACTGTTTGTGTAAAGTTGACATAACTTGCCAGAACTAATTAGCAAGGTGTTAGAACACATCCCAGTTGTGCAACTAGGCACACGACCAGGCATGCAACTAAGATAAATCCTCACCAAAGAGCTGCAATGAACTGTTACAAGTCAACACAAACACCAATAGGATTTTGGCTACTGACTTCTATTCAGGTAATAATCTGATGCACAACCTGGGGCAAACTACTTGCACTTTATGTCAAGTGCTCTGAACCAAACAAAGATTATCTTCACAGGCAGGAGAGTGCTACAGCAAGCAAAACCAACTGCATCTAGTACTGATGGTATATCTATAATGACTGCTAGGACTGAGGCTTTCAGATATCTCTTGGTAGACAGTAGATATGGGAAGAAGAAAGTCCTCTGATTCCTCTTTCCACATATGAGGACATCAGCCCTATTAGAGATATTTCACAAACTAAGTGCTCAACTGGGGCATGCATGAAAATCCTCAAATATTACCACAAGGAATGTAAATGTTAAGAACAGTACTTAAGTGGTCTCACTCAGAGATCCATTTCAAATAATAATGTGAAAGCTGCTTAAAATTCATGTCATGGAGTGACTACTTATAGTGTATTTTAAATTGCTTTGGGGATATCATATCGAGTGGCTCCCCCCCCCAGCTGAACACTACCATCCTGATTTATACACTGTATAACTGTAGTAGTTACTTATCATCATACTGAAATGCACTGAAATGAATATTAAGTTTTCAGTCACTGTAGGCTATGATCCATGCAATCATTACAACCGCAACTCCGCATATTGGCAGCACAATCATGTTCTTGTGTTTTTGCCAAACTGACTTTTCCACTTGAACTTCATCCTTTTTTCTCTTGTTCTTCCGACGCCCTTTTAATTTGTTTTCAAAAGCCTTCAGTTCAGCCTAGATAGCAGAAAAATGCAGGAGGGGAGGGAAACTGTTAAAATGTTACTGCAAACATGTAAAAATGATTATGTTTTTGTGGGGTTTTTTTGCAAAAATATAATTACAGAATCACATTTGGCATACATACGCACTGCCATTTCTCCATCTTCACAGAGGCATCAGTAATGTTTGGCACTATTTACATATTCTTTCATTTTGTGATAAAAGGTCTTGTAATGCATGCAGAAAAGATGCCTTGGTACATGGGAAGTAAAAGTTAAATCTGTTTTGTAGCACTGAATCAAAGGTTGAGTGCTGGCTAACAAACTGTAGCTCAGCATGGTAGCTGTGCCTGCATGTAACATCAAATGGTGGTTTAGCACTACATAGATAGGCTTCTATGAGCCTAAGCAAAGCACAAAGCTAAAATGTTCCCCACTTTCCTACTGTAAGGCCAGAAAGATTTCTGCCAAGTTTTATTTTCCTTTCAAAGAATGTTTGTGTTGCCTGCAAACTAGGAATGTTGGTTTAAAAAGCCAATGATTTTAAAAAATCAGTTTTTAAACCTTGCCTTGACAGTGGCTTGTTCAAAAATTGACTTTTTTAAAGTCAGGCCATCTAAGTCTGAAGATGTTAAACTCAGCAGACATCTTCCTCTAGGCCACTGGTTCTAAAAATTGGGTCCCCAGATGTTCTTGGACTGCAATTCTCAGAAATCCTGGCCAGCACAGCAAGTGGTGAAGGCTTCTGGGAATTGCAGTCCAAGAACATTTGGGGACCCCAGTTTGAGAACCACAGCTCTAGGCTGCCTGAAAAGAGAAGAAATGGAGTATATATAAAATTCCACATGCTTGGTGATGCTGATCCACACAGAAGTAATTCATGGCTTACCATTATGTACTAACAAGGAAAGCATAATGAAATTTATTGATAATGACCACTTCAGCTTCAGTCATTAAGGATAACTTTTTTTTGGTGGTCAGAAACCTAATATTTGTGTGTTCCTTCACCTCCATTGCCCAAATATAATTTCATGTCAATAAAACAAAACCACTTGAACTGTTTAAAAGAGAGCAGGAATCAAGCAGTTTAACCTGGATTCAAGCTGCTCAGAGTAGTGCTTTAGCACTAATAGAAGTAGTATACAAATTAAAATAATAAATTAATAAAGCTACACTTGATTTAACTGTAGTAAAATTGAATATGTATGTAGGATTACAGCCAAAAAGAATTTATTGTTTTCCCCAGTGCAATAGAAGGAAAAAAAAGGTAAGTTGCTACCTGTTGCCTTCGTTTATCCTCTTCAAAGGCAGCTCTGGCTTCTGCTTCTTTAATCTATATGAATGTAAAAATAATTAGCACATACACAGCTACCATTTTCTATCCGAGACACAGTACAGACTTATTCCTTTGAACTGGAGCATGTAATATTTCCCATGGTTAATGTGACCATCTGAAATCAGACAAGTACAAGCCATGCCATCCTGTCAGAGGCTTTTCAAAAACACAACCAGAAGCCTTTCCCAGGCATGCTCCCCTAGAAACAGAAGATGCCAGGAACTGAACTCGTGACATTCTGCAATGAAAGCATGTGCTTACCACTACTATGCTACAGTCCCCCCTTCCTTCAAGAAGGGTGGTACTGTATGTAATTTTGGATATTGTAAAGGTTCAAGACAAAATGTTCTGATATCAACATGTCGATATGCTTCATTTTTTAAGAAGAAGGAATGTTATTTTGAAAATAAGCTTTGTAAGCTTTCCTGTCATGTACCCACTAAAAGTCTGGGCCTTTTCAATGGCTTGGCCAAAAATTGTTCCAAACATATTTAAATCTTTTTGCTGGCAATACTTCCTAACACGTTTGGTAGTCTTCTGCTAAATAACTTGGGTACAGGGGCAAAGCTACAGCAGTAGGGCTTCATACTGGACATGAAAGTGGACAAACAGCCTTCTTTAGAGGACCAGTCTGAAACAGATCTGTGTTGCACATCTGTTTTTCACAATGGGCAACTGGGTGCCAAGTAGGACATGTTAGCAACAGCTCACCTCTAACACCTGCTACTCAAAAAATATAGTGCCACTTGGTAGGGAGATGTCATTTACTTTGTTCTGTCTCAAGGCACGTGGCATTTTCTAGCCCTAGCCTGTACCTCATTATAGTGAATTTGAGAAAGCATCAAGTCAATCTGTCCCTTTCCAACAGAACAAGCTATGCACAACTCTTATAAAATCTTTGTTGAAGATATATGCAAAATTGAAACAAAAGGCAGACAGCAACAGATGTGAATAGTTGTTAAAGCACTAATGTAACAAAACATAAAAAGTGTGTTGAAGTATTAACAATTTTCCATAGACAGCAGAACAGTGAGAAACATTCCACATTATACACCCTAAGGTGAAATTTAAACTTTTGAACATCTGATTTAATGGCATTCTTTTTCCCCAATCATGGTAAATAATTCTGCACTCATTTTTCTCTTGAAGCAGAGAGAATATATTATAACCATAAGAGACAAATTACCTCAGAAGCTTTCCGCTTCATTTCCTTGCATTCTGTGTCACATTCTAATGACATCTGGCCTTCCTGAACCTTCCTGCAGAACAGCTCCTAGAAGCAGAATTTTAGAAGTTATATATATTCATATAATTTTTCCTATGGTAGATCTGCTAGCTAAACACTCATCTGTCAACAAACTCCCCCCCTCCAAAAAGAAAAAGAAAAAAGAACAGAAAAAGATATCTGTAACTGTGTTCTTTAAATTGTCATCTACGCATTCATACAACTGGGGGTTTGGGGTCTGTACCAACAGTCCTAATTGAACTTTCCAGAGCTTTGACCTTGAGTCTTCTTTTCTCTTGCCATTACTTAGCCACGTGTTTCCCTCAGTCCCAACCCAATCCACCACAAAATGGTATATTATACTTGGTGAGAGAACATTAGGGAGACAAGTGGGTTGTGTGAATACATAGATGACTACTCAAAGAAGCTTAGTTCTTGGAGGTGGTATGTCCCATCAAAAGACAGTATTGCTTTCTCAAAGAAAGTATCTTTTTGAATTCTCAAATCAAGTCTATAATTATTTACAAACATGAGAGTTTGAGACAATGTTGCTGCAGATGTTTTGAGTATCAACCCCTCACGTGAATATTGTTGAAGAAACCATCGATCTAGTTGAATGCATTTTAATATTTGAAGGCAAATTAATTCTTGTGATGTCGTGGACCAGTTTTATTGTATTAAGTACCCATTTTGAGATGCTATCAAGATACTGGACAGCCTTTCATAGGGCCTTGACAACAAAAAGAAGAGTTTTTTTCTGAACGCTTTAGTCCTCGATAAATAGAATGCTAGAGCCTTCTTCACATCTAAGATACACAATGTTCTCTCCAAAACATTTTGTGGTAATAGAGAAAAAGATGGTAATATCAGTGGTAGAGACTAGGGATGGGCACATGTTTTTCAAAGTTTGGCATAGTTCTCTGGAGCAGGCTCACAGGTATAGTTTGGGTGCCCCAGATTCGGCACTCTGTGGCCTCCACTGCCTTGCTTCCTCCTCTGAGTGGGCACTCATGGGAAGAGGTGGGATACAGAATCTGGGACGCCTGCACAAGACCTATGGGCCAATCCAGAGAACTGCACCAAACTGCCAAATCATGTTGAGTGCCCATCTCTAGCTGAGACCAATGAAATGATGATACCACTCTTGATAGGAAGTATATACAGCATTGCCTTGTCTTTGCTGAATTGAATATACAGTGCATCACGGCTCAATCAATTTCACTTGCTATTGTTGCTGAAGTAATAGCAATTAGAAATACTGTTTTAACAGTTTGAGCTCTGTTGTTGCCATAGGCTCAAAGGGATTCTTTGTCAGCTCTATCAACACTAAAGCAAGAGACTAAGGTTCCTGTGGCAGAGTTACATCTGGTTAAGTATTTTTTAATACCCTTTATGGATGATTTTTAGGTTGATGTGCTACTATCTCAGCTAAATAGCATTTTCAAAGATGAATTTGACAATCTCAATTGCTTAAGATGAAGGAGAAATTTAAGAGTAGTCAGTACTGAGGTTGATTGACTACTCTCAATAACTGATGACACATATTCTATAAATTTGTTCCATGTATAGGCACACAATATTTTATAGGTATAGTAGTTTTTTAACTTGCTGCAGAATATGGTTTATTGGTGAGGTGTTCTCCAAGCAATCAACTTCAGTTGTTCTACCGATTCTTTGTGACATGTTAAGAGGTTGTGACACATTGGTAATTTCACTTTCTCTTTTGCAGTCAAGAATAGTCTCTACGATATTGAGAGTCCACTGGACTCCAGAGACCTAGAGCAACTGTGTTCCCTGTACTGTGGCAATTGTAGGCAAATCTTGGATTGTGATTTCAATCTCAGAGGAACAGATTTTCCAGGAGGGGATAGAAGACCATGAACATGTTCTGGATTTTGAATTTGACCTCTGTGTTGATGTTTTTTTGGGGGTGTGATAAGGGCCCTTGGAGTTAAGAGCTTCGGTGAAGACAGTGCAAAAGCTCTGTAGTGATGGGACTATGCAGCTCCCCATCTGAAATGGAACCAATATTTTGGCTTTCATTTTGTAGGTCTGCTGCAAGTTCCACTGCGTGTGATTCTGACTGACTGCACCTGAAGTCTGAAAGGCTCATCCTTTTTACTGTTTGTCTCAACTGATGAGCTCTTCCTTTCTTCAAAGGATGTTGTCCTTTGTAACAGTTATATATTCCAGGGTGGGTAAATTCTTAAGACTCAGATCCCCCAGTTTTTTGCTTGTTTTGATGTTGACTGTCTAGCAGTAGTGGTCTTAGTTACAGTGTCTGTTGCCCTCAAAGATTTTTCCCAAAAGTATGATTTTAAACGTGACAGATATTTCTAGAGTCAGTTTAGTAAACCCATTACAGACTGTTCAAAATTTTACTAAATGAGGTTCTCCTAAGCACAATAAGCACTGATAATGGCCATTTGCCTGAGGTATTTTTGCTCCACAGCCAGAACAGCCATTGAGGTCATAAACTGCCAAATATGAACCATTAGAAAAAATGATGAAGGGGAGGGGGAAAAGGGTGAAGTAACTTTTTTTGAGGTTAAGAAGTGCTGATGAAGGTAAAGGGTAAGTAAAGATAAGTTTTATAGAGGCTATTTTTTTAAAAATCACTTTTTGAGCTCAGTGATCCTAAAATGTTGCTCCAGAGAGCAAAAAAGGACTGAGGAAAGTGTGTGTAGCATGCATGCTAAAAGCAAGGGAAAATACAACTTGAGGCTAAAGCTTTGAAAAGTTCTGCGAGGAGTGTTCGTGCAGGCGCAGCACTCAAATTATGTGAAACACAGAGAACACAATGAAGAGTCCACAATTTCTTGATATTTTAGGTTACAAACCATTGTATCCTTGCTGTGACTGGAATATAAATAAAATTACTGCCTCAACCATATACAGTGGGGTCTTGACTTGCGAATGGCCCAAGGTACGAACTTTTTGAGTTACGTACTTCTCCGTCCGCAAAAATCCATTTTGACTTGCGAACAGAGAATTGACGTACGAACCAAAAAGGCAGGGGGGGTTAGAATCTGGGAGGCCTCCTGGCAGCAGCGGTGCAGGTAAGGTTCTGCTTCCTCTTTTTTAAAAACTTTTTTTCTGGTCTTTTGCAGGGTGGGATTGGGCTGGTGGGGTTATGTTTCTGTTTGCTTTGTGTTTTTTTGCAGCCCCAGGGGCTTGCAGAGTTTTAGTTTTGGCGGGGTATTTTTTTTCGTGTGGGTCTGTGCTGGATATGATTGTGTTTGCTTTGTGTTTTTGCAGCCCCAGGGGCTTGCAGAGTTTTAGTTTTGGCGGGGTATTTTTTTCCTGTGGATCTGTGCTGGATAGGATATATGCATGCACTGGGCAGAAAAATGGGCTTCTGATGCTTGCTGCAAAGACTGGGCTAAGATGTGAGTTCCACACTCCTGCCTGTGTGTCATTGTGCTGAAAAAATCAGCACAACATGCTTTAAAACATGTTTTAAAATTAGCTTTGTTGAAAAAAGATTTCAAAAGTGCTTTGCAAAGTGTTCCGTGCTTTCCTGAACTTTTCTTGACCTAAGAAAAAAAGAAACAAAATATCCCCCTCTAGTGGCAGAAGGCGGAATAGCAGCTTCCCATTAGTTTCTATGGACGGAAAAGAGCAGATATGGATTAAATGGTTTTCAATGCATTCCTATGGGAAATGCAGATTTGACCTGCAAACTTTTTGACTTGCGAACCGCCTTCCAATACGGATTAAGTTCGCAAGTCAAGACCCCACTGTATGGCTACCAGCACTACTGGATTGCATCTGCAAGGGTTAATATGTTTCAAAATTCACAGAAGTGAACAGACCATTGTTCATTCAGAACTCTGACTTGTCTAATCCTCAGCATTAAGTTTGGTGCCCTGTAACCTTGACATAGTTTCTGATTGCTGAACAATATGCATGGTGGAGAAATGTAAATGGTTCATGTTACATATTTCTTTGAGAAAGTGTTTTATTATTAAAACAGAACACTGTCTTTTATGTGAGAGACAATACTAGAAACCCGTTTAGCCATCACTATTATTATTATACCGGATTAAACTTTATTACTGCATTTATCCATCCAATGTAGCTTTGCTTCCATTTTAATAGCCTTTGCATTAATGAGCACTATGCACTGCAATGAATAAAATGATTAAGTCCTGTACTAATATCCAAACTTGGCAATAAAATACACATAGAATGTCAAAGAATCTTTTTTCTATGTCACAAGACTTTATTGCTTTAGGTTACAATTATATAAACAGTCTCTCTTAAAGTATAGCACAATCCTACATTTCAGTGGGAACTGAATAGCTGCTTTTCTTTGGTGTCATTCAATAATAAATGAAATTAGTTAAGCCTCTGACATTTAGTCAGATTGTTTTAGACGGAAATGTTATAATTGTAAGCCACCTTTTCAGCCTGTTGGGAGGGAAAGCAGCAGTATAAATACTTTCCCAAAATACATTCATTGGCACCAACCATTTTAGAACTTTACATTAATAATAATATATATCCTAGACAAAGGCCATCTGCATCATCGTAATCAGTTATTCACAAAATAGGAAGCAATGGTTCAATTAAGTCATAATTCTAGTCTAGTAAATTAGAATCAGGAACAAGTTATGGGACACAGTATTCCTTTCTCCCCTTCATACACCCAGTTTTAGACCACAGTTTTTTTGTCTGTTAAACCCAAAGGTTCCCATGACATCTAAAACTGTAGTTTAACAAATGAGGAAGTCGGTTCAAATGTGCAAAAGGAAACAGAGGATGCTTAAACTTGTTTCTAATCCATGACTTATGAAGAACAGGGTCATCATTGGCACCTACTAGGTGGAAAAGTATTCCCTAAAGTACCCGGGGAGTACGCCTCTATGTAAGAGCTGCTGAATAGCCTGAGAAGTGTGTGTCCTGCTTATTGTGGAATTATCGATGGCAAGCAGCTGCATCCAGTGTGAACAGAATTCTGGTCTAAGTCTTAGGTCTGATCCAAAATGGTTCTTATATGTTCGTGTTCTTATTTTTATCTCCAGAAATGTTACACCTGAACATGT